GATAAGAAAAACCGCTATAACTTTGACTCTGCAACAAATCAGGTAATATGCCCTAATTTTTCAAAGGAATTTTGATTTCTTAGATGAAATATTATATACATTGAAATTTCTTGTCATTAATTTATTCTTCACATACTTATCTTGGCGAAGGTGTCTGGGTTTCTGCGACAAAGTAGCTGCTGGTACAAGTATCGGGGCATGAAGAATTTATTCGACAAACTGCCATTTTTATTAACTTTATCAGCTCAAATAAGAGATTGTAAGAAGGCAATAATCGAGGCTCATAATAGACAGCTGAGGAAAGCAGGAAGACGCTTAAATTATTGAATGTTAAAAAAACAAGAGACTAAGCAATGCACTTATATTATTAAGTGTTTATTTAGCTTGAATAAATGGAAATATATTTATTTCTTAGTCTGCATAAAAGTAGTATTCTTAATATGAATAAAGTAGTTTTTTTTAATAGATTCATGATGTTGCCATATGGTGTTATGTAAGAAATAAAAATCGTTGAAATTACAAATATTGTTTGCAAAATATCAAACAAATTGTTCTTTGTAATTAAGTTTTAAATAAAGCTGTTAATATTCTATTGCTGCACTATAATTATCATTATCAAATAAGCTTTCTATATTATGTTTGTAAACCAAAAAGAAGTCTTTCCTCCCACTAAATCATCTTCGCTGAAAAATTCCTCGTTCATGTGATAAAATATACCATGAAACGCATTATAGATCATATGATGTATGAAAGAACGTCTTTCTAAATATGATATCATATGATAAAACACATAATGTAAAACGTGACAAATCACATGTTGCATCATATGATAGTCACGTGTTTCATCATGTGATTCGTCATGTGATAATTATGGTCGAAATTTTCACATGATAAATCACATGATCGATCATGTGATCCATCATGTGATTAATCATGTAAAAATTTTCAACTAGGCGTGCAACAAGAAATCTCTGGGCACTGAGATATCAAGTTTTGTGTAAAAGTCTAGATACTTCAAGTATACGTAATGCATTCTTTAATTCTGAATGCAACAAGTTAGCCACTTGTTATGCCAGTTCCAAAGTACTATTGTTACCACCAATATCAGCACAACTTCACAATAGGTGTCATAACTGAAAGTTTTTTTACTTTTCTTGTTTTTTTTTTTTGAAAACTAATAAATCCGCTTGATTGTCATCTTTTTATTGTGGTTTCTGTAAATTTGATTTACCTTAATTATTTTTGTATTGAGAATCAACTATTTGTGGCAGGTATTTTCATTACTAAAATTTTAATGGTAAAATAGAATAATGAAAAATTATTTGAATGACTCTCCTGAGGGCTTCCATATGTTCGATGCTGAGTTTCAAATGCGGTTCTCGGTAACTTTAGTCAATTCAATTCTCCAAGATATTGCAAAAATGTTAATAGACCTTTTGACATGCCTTGTGTATTATAAACATTTCCAAGAGTAGAAAAATTCAATTTAAAAAGAAATATTAAACATTTCACCAAATCAAAACCTCTTGTTTCAATTGTACCCTACCAAATATAAACTTGTTTCAACCATATTTTTCCAAATCTAAACCTTTTTGTTTCAACAGTATCCAAATACAGGAGAATGAAATGTCAAAGTTGTTTCAAAAACGTGAGATGCTTTAGTGCCCTTTTAATAACGAAGAAAATGTTTTCATCCTCAACGTCAATGTTTAAAAAATTGATGTTTTTGACGTAATTTTCATCTATGAAGCACAACAAAATATCTTTAAAATCGATAGTGATATACGTAAAATTACTTTTTACTTTGCATCAATCCATGAAAATCTTCTGGTACTTACAGTATAAAAATAAAAAAAGCAATATATAACTGTATAACTCCATCGTTGAGCAATTTACATAATTAGATAGCTTGTAGATTATTCTCGTCCATTGCATCTTCAGTTAAAGTTGCTTGAATGGCCAAATTCCGTCTACGAAGTCTGATGAGAGCGGGTAATGTGGAAAGCCAGCGTATCTTTTCAAAGCGCAATACTCTCTCTAAATTCATACTTCATTTTATTTGTTGTTGTTGCAGTGCATGTATCCTTTTTGGTGAATAAAGCAAATTGTGTATTTAGGTTAGCAAGTCTACAGTTAATTCGAATACCGTCATCATCATTTAAATTTAAGTAGAATCGACATATCGATACAACTAGCTGCGACATAAATTTAAAAAAAATAAAATAAAACGAGCAAAATATATATTTTCAAATCGCATTAGCAAATATTGTATGTCACCTATTTTGCTATCAATATGCGAAACAAAAAATTGTAACTAAATATAGACTCGATATAATCAACGTATCGAGGTTTGACAAAGGAGCAGTATAAAACAAATTTTTCAAATCTAAAAAAATAAGAAAAACAAAATACCTTAATAGAGTTTTTCGAACTGTTCTATGCGTTTCAATCCACAAGCGTTTTATTTACTAACTGAAGTTCTTCAAATAAATATTCGTATATAAAATATGGAAATATATCTTTAACCACAAAAAAATGTATTAGTTGCAATGTTTACACCACGGAGTTAGAGAGGAGACAACTCCGTATACGAGAAGTGGGACGATTCTGCCGGCGAAAATCGCCAGATTCGCACGACGGAATAGCTTCCTCTTACTAGTTTCAGACCCGTCTTACGGCTGCCGCACATACCGTAGAGCAAACTGTTTGACCTACCATTTGTTTAGTAAATTCATGTACATTTAATTTATTTCTCAGAACAATGAGTGTTCAAAACAATGCCGCAATATAACGTTAGACAATAATAGAGATCTTATCATAAGTACAGAAACCCCTAGTATTTATAACACAATTGCTTAAATTCGAGCATTCATCAATGGCTTGCTTTGTTCAATGATTTCTTCAGTTGACAGTATGAACCACTAGATAGTATAAAATATAATTTTAATAGTTATAAGGAAATAGTGTTCTAATTTATTTTCTAACTCTTCCATAATGAAGCTTTTAAGGTTTATGATATTGAAATTTACAATAACGCTCTCAAGAATATTTTCAATATATCTAATTTCGATTTTCATAGCGAAAAATTGGAAAGCAAATGTATAAGGGGCCTTGATTATGCAATAATGCAGAGCACAGCTGAAATATTTATCTTTAAGCCTTTTCTACTCTGTCTGAATAAGCTAGGAATGAATGCTTCCATGTCATGTTAGTTTAATGACTCGTCGACTACGATGGCATTAGCCTTTTCTCTTTTTCTAAAAAGTATTTTAATTTAAAATCTTCTACGGATATTAATATCAATTATTTCTCTTGAAAATCATACTGTCTGCTTTATAAATGCTGAGCTCTTTGTTAACGTCAACTTTTTTCTTGATCCATATGCCAGACGGCCCGTGATTATCTGCTTTGAAAAATTCTATTGGTTTGTTTGTAGCTGTAATTGTAGCTGTCTTTGTTGTTATGATATCGGTAACTTTCTTGTCGGAAGCATGAATTTTATTATTGTTCTGCAAATACTGGTATAGAATCAGCATCTGAGTCTGATTTTTTTCTGTTATTTAGGTTGTTTACGTTTATTTCTATTGGATTGGAAAGAAGCTCTTCATTAGACATCTAAGAAGTTATTGGAATGTGGCCGCCCGACAAGCGGACACTATGTGTTGAGATTTCAAAGAGATTAAGAAATAGTCAGGCCAACCCGGCGTACCTATCAAAGAAAAACCGGAAATACAATATAGAACTCAGACCCAACTCTGCCGCACACTGTAATGTAAAGGCAATTGTATAATAACATTAAAAACTTAAAAAATTTAGAATACTCGAGCCAAGCGTCCGCTAATCTATTTTCCTTCCCGAAAAATCCCTCCGTGGCATTCGCGCGCCATCCCTCGATCAAGTTTTAGTCGTAAAGCTTGAATACACATACCTGTTCTTCTATAAGCCTTTATATTCGTTGACATATGGGTTTTGTACGCTCATATGAAAGATTACTGCAAATACTCGTGGACAAAATTCTAAAAGTTCGAAAAGTTTATCAGTATACTTGACATGAATTTAATATGAACTGTGTGATTTAATTATTAACAATTAAAAATAAGATTTTTAATGGTTTTTATGTAAGATTATGAAAAGAAATATTCATTTGATTGCTTATCCTCAAAATAAAAATTGATTAATACTTCTGTGTAGATATTAATTGAACTTTGCTATATGCGGAAGTTTAGTTTCGAATAAACAAAATAGACAATAAAAATATAAATTAATACATAAAATATCGTGAAATCTCGATAACGTATTGTACAGTGATTTTGGATTATTCAGTTGCATAAAATATTAGAAAAATTTTCTGAAAATACACTATCATCGCGATTGTTTACCAAAATATGTTATTTACATCGTGAAAAATGTGCAATATAATTATAGAAAATTATAAGGTTTGTATAACTTACATTATACTTTTTATTATATTTTTGAAACTTTTTGACGATTTTTCAACACAAGACTATTGTACGATAAAAACTTGAAATTTCATTTATAGTATTTTAAAACCATGAGTATCAACCGTCAATATCATTGCATATTTATTTACCAGTAAATAATATCAACGACTACACAGAATTTCAAATCATGAGTATATTTATGACATAGACTGTATTTTCGACTTTTAAATTTCGCCAATAAAAGTTTTGATCTATTCATGCATTGAAATGAATGTGAAAATAGATAAGCGCGCTAGACATCACTAGTTTATTAAAATCGTTCAATAAAATATGAATACATATTCTATAGATGCCCTCTCTCCCGTCAACTCGATAAACCACTTTCTCTAGCCTTGAAATTGTAACTTAAATGCTCCTATGTTCTCTCTTTTCTTCCAGATTGCCTCTGATATGACATGGTAACTTTTAGGTAGTAAAATTTATGTTAACTTAATAAAAGGTTATCTTCAAATTAATACAAACAAAAATAAATACACTCCAAATTTTAATGCTCAAAAATTCACTTTATTTTATCCTGATCACCTCCAATAATAGAAACTTTTTAAATTTATCAAATAACTAAATATAATCACTTTAACTGTACATTAAATATTGTCAAAAAATAAGAGGCAATTTCTTTATCTCAATGACACTCGCAAAAAATATAAACTGAGGTTGTACAATACTAGCGTTATTTAACGCGTCTCACGCGCTCTATATTGTTATTTTACTGTTATCAATATAATCATATAAATAATTTTGATATCTGTTATCTATTGGTAGTATGGTAATATTCTATTATCATACAATCATAAGTTTAGTCAATAACAGCAGTTTTCTAAGACTTTAATATTATACCTATTACTATTAGTAATATCTTTCAATATTGAATGTCCTCTGGTTTTCTCATTGAAAACTTCCGAGCACATCTCGTGAACATTCTTCAAATTTAATATTCTGATAATTATTTTCCGTTTCTCGCAAAGTTGTCACTTTACAAATGTAAAAATATTAAAATTAAATTTTCTCCATTTTATTCTATTAAATTTTTCTCTCTTTCAATCACATTTAAAAATGACACTATTAATTTTATAGATGGTAATCAAGTTATTCCAGCATAATTAAAAATGATAATTTCTTATTTTCTTAAAACGATTTATTAACAACATATTTCCATTTTTGTAGAATATTATCCATATTAACTATTCAAAAATTAAATTTATTACTGCAATATAAATTTCACATTCCCCTGGATATATAATACAATTATTTTGAAGTATACTAAAATTTAAATTTTCGCGCTCTTTTTAGTATTAATCAATCACAACGCTGGATGCCGGCGATTCGTCATTTTTTAAGATAGGAACGCAAATAATCGAAATAAACGTGTCAAATTCCAAATACTAAATTTAATAAAATTGTTAACGCGTTGAAAACACGACGTACTTATCTTCATGATCCGTTAGGGCAAACGATGGCTGATCGCCTGTGAAACTCGGTAAAAATACTTGGAATTTCTCGATTACCGGCGTCCTTCCTTGGAAAATGGACTGATGTTGGTTGTATAGATATTTTGGCGAGGTTCGAGGGTGCGACGACAAATCAATGTTAACAGCACGTGGTCGACGAAGCGAACGGATTGTAGACCAACACAGAGAGAGGAAAGGTGTTGACCGTTCAGTGAGCCCCAGGCAAGAAAGCGAGCGTTCTTTCCAGCAACGTTGGAATTAATCTCCAGAGGCCAGTGCGTTAGCGGAACAATGCGTGCAATTAGTTCTAAGAACTATCCGGCAGATATAGCAGACGATATTACCCTTCAGAGTCCTAAGTATTTTCTGCTCTTTTTTCTCTCTCGCTACTATTTCTGCTAAACGCTTCAGTAGCACTGATTGAACTATTGGTTCGTTGGGGGGAATTTCTTCGCTATCTATTGATCTGGAAATTGCTGGCTTAAAAGAACGTTCATACGATACAAGCATGGTCAGCAGGAACATCATCTTGTTGAAGCCATAAATTCAATCTAATTACAATTTGAATACATTCTCAAGGTATCCTGGCCAATTATTCTAGAGTAATGCTAAATACACAAATAATAAAAATTTAGTTTCTAATCAATATGTCAACAGCCCACCTATAAAATTATACCCTAAGTACATGATCTGGACTAATGTATGTCTATTATTCCTATTGTATTCACCTTGAGAATCTTAATTATTTAATTGGGAGTGCAGTTATTCATTATACACCTTAAGAAGAACTTTATAAAATTGATTAATTCTCAATAATGACGTATCAATAATAATAAATAATACATATTTATCCCGGAGCTAGATGAAATTGTGGTAGCTAACACGAAACTATTGTTTAATTACGAAAGCGATCAGTCGATGTATCGGCGACATACTAAAGAGTACTTTGGAATCGAAAAATTATCCCTACTAAATTGTCCTACACAAATGAAAGATTTTTGAATCGTTGAAGAAAATATTTTTCCGGTCAAAAGAAAAAGTTCTCATACTTTTCTGGAATGCAGCTGCTTTGTTTATCAAAATTGTAAGGATCTCTCACGTTACGGACAATATATAAAAATAGATAAGCAAAACAATCGCATTTCAGAAAAGTATGAAAATTTTTCTATCGATTGAAAAAACATTTGCTTCAACAATTAAAAAATCTTTCACTTGTGTGCGATTTAGTAAGAATAATTTTTCGATTCCATATTACTCTATTTAGTATATCCAGGATACACCAATTAATCGCCTTCATATCAAGTAATTTCACAGAAAACTAATTAAGTTTAAATCCTTCGTACATGACCTTGAGGTGATCCTTCCGAACTCTACATAAGATACTGTATGTAAATGTAGTATTTCACACTGTTTCTGAAGTCAGAGTAAATTGATCTTGAAACAATTTTGAAAATTAAATTCAAGGTAAAGTTTGAGGTCATCATCAGTGACCGCCACTGAATGGCCATACTAAACCACCATACAATTGCTATCTGAAACATTTTTCAAACACATTACAGTGTTTTGAGTTTGTATATCGTGATGGTCTGTCCAAATTAAAAATGTAACATTTGGTGTATTGTGTTCGATATAGATTTTCAAAAATGTAAAAGGAATCAAATTGGTTTTCTATTGTATGAATTTTTTCGTGTCCTTTTAAGAAACATTGCAGATATGCATTTATAACTAAATATATATCAATTATCAAGTTTTTTTACAACTGAATGCTTAGCTCCATTTATGATGAAAAACTTTGATACAAACTTTAATTATAAAATAAGAGAAAACATGAAAGCCATTAAGATTTTTTGTAAAAGAGTTCTTTTTTTACTAAACCTTTGAAAAGGCAGTGCACTAATGCATTTAGCGGCGTGTTTTTACTGTGAAATAGTTATTGTAATTGTAAGTGTTCGTTCAAAAATACATTTAAAAAATTAGCAAATAACGAAAACTTTATTAGCGACTGTAATTAATAGCCTTACCGTATAATGCAGTGTACTGCAATGCTATAATAAATTATACTCACTTTTAAATAGGTTTTAAGAAACAGTCCGATTAAAGGTAAATCAATCATTTTCAATCAATTTTAATAAGAATCACAACTAATATAAAATTATAGTATTAATTATAGTTATACTTAATCACACTTACTACTATTGGGTCATATTTTATTTTGTAGTTATCAATAATCTATTCGAGGTTTCAATATACAATATACAAGACAATTCGTAATTAGCCGCTACAGTGGGGAAGATTCCATTGCTGTCCACCGGCAGCAGCACTAATCTGTGCCACTCACTGCTCACTGATGGTGTCATGTCGATGTCACTGACTGAATGTGAATACAGTACTGTGTGAATATATGACGGCAAAGGGAGGCCGAGGACGGAGAACCGAGGACTGGTCACCGGACGAGTGACGGCAGGAGGGAGTTGATTTACCGTCTTAATACTTTTAATGTATGGACTACATGGAGATCTATACCGATAAATATAAACATAGATACAGTCTCGATTCATTTTTAAGTTAATGAGCCAGGTTAGTGACGTTTGTTGGCTTGTGTAGGTTTTACGGTAGTTCGTAAACATTACCATACATTGATAGTTAGTTTGTTTTTAATCTTAATTGCTAATAGATAAACACGTATTAGAGGAAAGACAATCTCAATATGGATAATTCACCGTCAAATACTCCTGCCTACCATAATGTCAATTTTCATCATCAAAATCGTGGAGGTCGTGGTGGTTATGGTCAGCATCAACCTAGAAATAATAGCAACAATGACCATTTTCATAGATTTTCTAAATCCCATAATTCTTCTAATACACTACTTGAAGATATGGTGATGCCTCTTGATTCCAGTTCACCAGTATTTTATCGTAAGAGAGGAAACAGAAGACAATTGTTTAACAGACATAATCAAAGCTTTCCTAGCACTGGTGTATCTAGAATTAATGATAATCAGCGAAATTTTCATAATAATTCAGATAGCTTATATCAGCGCAATCCAAAACAATTAAGACAGGTAATTTATGTTGTTTATATTGCTGACAACTTCCTTTTTTAATACTTTTAAAGATTTAATAAGATTTTTGAAATTGAAAAATTATTGTATTTTGATGGTATGAAAAATAATGTATATAAATGTTACAATTAGATATGATAGATTTTTTCACAGGTTGATAAAAAATAAATTTCTATTATTTTATTCACTTTATACTTTTTCTTGCAGAAAAATGAATTGAATTGGCACAGACGGTTACCGATAAGTGAGTTCATTCAATTAAAAAATATTTTCGATAATCCATGGGCAGAATTAGAAAAAGATATTTGCCTTGTCTCGCAATCTGATACTATTGCAGATGTAGATAATCCTTCAATTAATATTACAATTGCAAGTGATGAGCAAGGGGATACTTTATCTAATAATAATTCAGAAGAAAATTCTACCGATGTAAATAACAGTCGTAATGAACAAAATGAAGAAAGTTCTATAGATTTACAATTAGAAGAAATAAGTTTTAGTAATAATTCTAAAACTGCAAGTATATGAAAAAGTTTGCAAAAAGAAACATATTTTATGATTGAACTTGTCAGTTGAAAAACTATTTATTACATAGTTTATTAGAACCTGGAAATTGTCAAATGAGACCTCAAATGGAATTATAAATCAAGATCTATTACCTTTTTGAAATCTCACAACACAAATAATGTTAAATTACTGTTTTCTAAAATTTCCATCCAGAATCAGTTCAGATGACATTATTGTCATATCCTGAGATTTAAGATCTCAAAGGAAGTATATTTAGCACTACTTGCAATTATGTTAGAAATATATTTAAAATGATTGTAAGTTTAATTTCAATTAAGGTCTTATCTGGAGATTTTAAATATTGAAGTTATATTAAGTTAAACTAAAATTGATTTGTGCAAAATAGATTCTACATACTATTTTTTATAAACTACATTTGTTATTTTATGTGAATTTGCAATATTTTGAAATTATTCACTATCTAAGTTATAGGTAATTATAATTGTAAATAAAAATTGTATACACTGTAAATAATAGATTAAGTAAATACTTTTAAATACATTAACGATATCATATTGTTTACTACAGTTATAATCTACTACTTTTTCTGTCAGGGTTAAAATTAACATATTAAGATAATTTTTTTAGTACAAGTTGATTAAAGAAAAAATCAATCTAGAATAAAATACTTAGCTGTATATTATAGTTCTAAAGGTGAGTAAATAAAGTATAAAATATACTGAAGTATACATTTTTATATATTTTCTTAAACATCGTAAATAATATAGACTTTTTATATTATAATTACAAACAAAAAAATTATTGAATATTAGCAAAAGATGAAGATAAAGTAGAGCAGACTTATTTCGTTTTTTTTACATATGAGCCTTAGACGTTATTACAAGAAGATTTACAATAATAATGAGATAATATATCATTCTAGTTTTGTGTTCCTATTATTGAATTTCTTTTGTGACGAAGTTATTCAGATAACTAAGATGATCCATATACATACTTGCAATGTATTATTAAATTTACCTAAACATTCATCTTTAAAACTATCATGGATTTGGTGCTCTACATAAATTATGCTATAGTACATATAAATTTGTCTGGAATTTTAGCGCATGATAGTTTTATGTGCTTCAAAAATCGACATTCGAAAATAAAAACTTCATCCACGTAGGTTTTAGCAATCTAAATTGTTATAAATGGTAAAGTTTATGGTATTCTTATAAAATAATTAATTAATATGAAATAGCAGGTTTTTTAATTTCTGAATTCTTTCGTATAAATAATCCTTTCAATCCTAGTTTGAGCAGTAACTTTTCGATTTTGATTATTGCTATAATTTTGTAAAAATATAAAGCTATGATATTTCTAAAAATAATAATTGTTACTGATTTAAATAAAAATTTAATAAGTATGCTAGTCCAAATAAAATAGGATTATTAAATCCATGTGTCCAAAAAACAATATACAGCGGCCTTAATTAATTAAATCAATTGAAATCGAAATGTCAAACAAAGTATGACGTTTTACATTTAGTTTTGGTCTTCAAACTAATCGTGCAAAGTCGTGTATTTACATAGTCACGAAACAATATATTAATTTTTATTTTACAATTCATTCAGCCAAAAATGAAATTCAATACTGTAATTTCTCTATAGAGTAAATCGCTATTCTACTATACAACTTAGTGAATGTATACATGTACATACATAAATATACACACCCATATTTTTATAGGCACAACTTACTTTTAGTTATTTTAAATGAAATAATATTACTCGAGCACTATAGCTTTAATTTATTGATGCAACATATGTACACGATAGAAATGCTATTAGTTTACGCTTTACACATATTTTAATGTCGTTGAACATCGCCTTAATAAACAAAATAATACAAAAACAAAATTTACTTTTTCAATCATGTAGTTCAAATACATAAGATTTGAAAATACGTTAGATTTACAAAAATATATATCTGCTGTAACCGTAAAAAAAGACAGATTATTAGAGAAAACAAATCGGAGCAGTGACTTCAATAAAAGGTTTGTCTATCAACCTTGAAACTCTTTCCTGAAGTAAAACGATGTCGAGCTTTATTAGGTAGCCACTTGAATAATTGATCGTAGCTCGACATAATCAATATGTGCGGTTTGATGTACTGCGGATATAAGCTATATATAGCTCCGCATCATGGATTATGAAGCACGGTAAAAAGCGCTTTGAACACGATCTTCAATTCGCTCTTTCGGTTTATGTATGCAAAGTGCTCATTTTGAATTATTCCCTCCTAGTCGGTCATCAACAGTTATGTTTTCATAGTTTATTACGACTACGGAGTATCTTCTCAAGATTCAAACTTATATTTTTTGTATTATTCAACTACGAGTAATCGCACCATAAGTTTAATATTTCAGGTTTATATTTAAATGTTATTTATTTTTGCGGCTAGACAATTCGAGTTACATGTAATTTTCTATCGATGATCTTTTCCAGCAGCATATGCTGCGTTATAAAAATGTAAACATCCACTTTTTTCGTATCATTTAATCAAATCATTTATTTAATGATACAATAGTTTTTTATAGGTTTCAAAATATTTTCAAAATAAATTTGTTTCTTTAGATATATTCGATGGAGCATTGGTCCTTATGTAGGAGCATTATTTTTTGCCTACTTCAAAAAGAAGGTTCTACATTCGTCTAGAATTTTCTTATTTATGTTATCGCATACCTTGGGATCGATTCAACCTTTTACAGTGAGATGGGCTTATTTGAAAGGGTAAGCTTCCGAGTGTTTTTATTGACGTGCTTGAACCACTATTTTGCGACTGATTACAAATTATTTTGAAGTCGATTTTTTTCTTAATTTAATCTTGTTTACAAGAAACCTATACCTACTGAATAAATTGTTTCATTGTGAATACACCTTCGTAGTTAGAGAGACTTAGAGAAAAAGTTTTCAACTCTCACCGAATCGTCAGAGTTGTACTAAATGATCTTTCAAAATCACGAACACTTGATACTAAAAGTTCTGTAGATTTATCCGAGTATTTTATTTTTAAATCATTTTACATGGTATATTTAGAATTGATTTTTTCCGATTATATTATTTTATTTACATTAATGGTTTTTATTATTTGAAATATTCATCATACACATGTCTATACGTCGTAATAAGAGCTTGAATAATTAGTAGTTGCCCAGCTGATTTTTTTTAAAGTTAAACAAAGTCTTTACTTTATTTTTCGTTGACTAGACGATAGAATCTTTATTTCTTTATAAACGGACGAATCCGTTAATAATTTATGTGTGTGTAGATTTTTCTTGGTCCCACGTAAAAAGGTCAGTTTTATATTTATTAGAAATGTTTTACTAGTTACAATGGCGAGACTTTTTTATTTGTATTGAGTTATGCACAGAAAACATCACAACCGATATAATGGCTGTTTTTGAATATATGATGTTTAAGTATATCGATTTTTTTAATGTACTGCAGCTTGGACTCGCAAGTAACACGAACTGTCTTTCCGATTTACTTACAACAATTTTTCGTAAATTAAGTAGTATACTTTATTATGTTCGTTGGATCTTTTTGAAATTGTATAATAATAGACACATTTTTTAATAAATAGGTACATTAATTTTAAATGTACTGTAACGATGTTGAATTTATATTCAAAGTTCATTGCATTATACCAGTAATTTCTTTTAACTAAAAAATAACAACACTAGATAAAAAAGGGTATTTTACGAAAATGCAATGGATAATAAAACTCCAGCTTACTTATATCGTATTTTCAATAACAATTTTATTTATTTTAAGGTGACTCTACCCAAGTTTCGATGGAAAAATCATTTTTGTATTCAATATAAATTTGTTGACTTCACGGAAATCTAAATCGTTTGATGTTATATCTAAAGTAAGTCCTTTAAATAACAATAAAGATGAAAAAATGTATTGGAATGTATGGCACTTTTTTAATGAAATTTATGCCTTTTTCGATTTCTTATAAAACGACCCTCGTAAAATAATGTATTTATCTGGAATATGCAGTGTTGGAAAATAAAGTATATAATCAGAATGGAGTTGCTAGTTAAGGTTGACGTAATTTAATTATATAATAATAATTATAAGTAAAAATATCAATTTTTTACCATTTTATTGATAAAAAAAACTTTTTAAATTTTTATTTAGTGTTAGGTAATTAAAAAATTTGGTCCAGCAATACTTTCTGCTTGCATCGTTAAAAATTATCAGTTTTTTCATGTAATGCAGATAATCATTAGATACACAAGAACCACCATTTGGAATGTGTGTTCATTTTTAAAGAAAAGTAATACATATTGAATAATAACTTTACTGATAATTAATCAACCGACATGACATTTGGAACAGAAATTTATAAAGTTTAAATCGAGCTATAAATTGCAATGTAATATGACATTTGAATATAAAAAATTTTATTTTTTTGAATAGAGAAACACTGTAAATTAATTAAATTTCAACGAATAGAGGCTTATAGACTAACTTGTTATAGAATCCTTTTTTCTATAAATTAATTAAACGGCTAAAATTGGAAAGTTTTCATAAAAATTTGAAAATGAAATAAATATCAAATCTTTAGAGTGTAAGTCCGGTTTTTTCACGAATAATTTTTAAAATTAAATTGATAGAATAAATATTATCCGATGGATGGAGGTACAAACTCAATGTATTCATATTCTCCATCCTTATTGCCATACAATTCTACAGATTCGAAAAGCGACAAGTGAAAGGAGTTTACAACAACTATTAAAACGTTTCCCTAGCTTTTTCTGATTCGAAATTCATAAGAATCACCTAACATGAATAAATTATTAATTTACTTAGTATGATCAAGTTATATGTGCTAGAGCCCACGGATGGCATACAACTACGTGCACGGAAAATATTTGTACATGTTACGAGTCGATTCATTTATATGTTGGAACAATTCATTCATTTTTCATTTCTGTAAATTGTATCTGATAATAAGCGTATTGTTTACGCTAAATTGGAAATGGTGTTTTATAAGATTATATTGTGAAGAATATACATTTTTCGCTTTTAATACTGTAACAACTGATATAGTTTCGTCGTATTTCAAATTTTTGATAAAAGGAAGACAGACATTTTTTATAAACGTTTACGTGATGTAATTATCTTGCCGCAGAATGGTTGAAATGGTGAATATAATTGATAAACCGGAATGATTTTTCAATAATTTGTTGCTGCTATAGTAGCATTGTAAACCAATCACACTCGACTATGCTTATTCGCAGTAAATCTCTCTTTTTACATCGGTATTGTTTCTCGCTAACAATCACATGCTAATTATTACATAAGGCATGTGAATATATTACATCAATGTTACTTTTTGCTAGTTATCAGTATTACTATTATATATACCTTTCAAGACCGAATAGCAAACCTCATTTGATGGTCTTTTTGTCAAATTTAGATATAGATTGGCAAATTTATTTAACGTATAGTAAGATTGGAAAATGTATCCTATATACTTAGATAGGGATTAACATTTCTGTTTTATCATTATTTTTTCAATTCACTTATTAGTGACAATTTGACATATAATATCAAGAAAAAATCAATTTCAAGTGGAGCTTTAAAGTTTTATGAATGTATTATTCCTTATAAATATTTTCCAAGACCTCCTGTATATGCATTCATAGTTCAATAAAATTGGACATTTTCAATGTGCCGCGAATATGTATAGCGGTCCATTTAAGTCATGGTAAGTGTTGGTTTTCTTTTAATTGAAATGAAAATTTTTGGTACTCTAATTATATCAATATTATAGAGTAATTTAAGAATTGAAGCATATAGAAAGAGTTTTACTAATTTTTCGCTTTCCATACATAATTTTATAAGAGTTTGTAGAACGTACTGAGTTTGAATATAAAATCAGGAAAACTTTACCGCGAAGGGTTTACTTTGCGAATTGACTTTATTCCACCATTTTTCAATTTTTCAGTTTAATTTTCAATATTTGAAATGCATTTGGTAATTTTGACTTTATCAGTAATTATTTAATAAATGTTGATATTACGATTAAGATAAAATTAAGAAAAAGCAAAATCATAAAGAATTTATTTCAATTCCATAGATACACATATTTTGTGAAAATGATCGAGATTGAATATGTCACTAAAAAAGGACTTGAACATGTTGATAACAGGAATTATCAGAATGTTATGATTAGTTGTAAGAATGATTTATTCCTTTTCTCGGAAAGAGTTGAGGGTAGCAAATAGCTAAGAATTTGTTTATCGAGCAAACGTTGTTAAATCTTTTGCAAAAGTTTAAATCATCATCTACTTAAAATTAATTGTAATCCTAAATACACTTCGCTACCATACGTCAAGCTAATTATTCTCATTATCAAAATTTGGTCTTCATTTGGCATAATATTGCGATATACAAATTGGTAGTTGACGAAAATTTTGTTTCTAATGAATATTTATCGTTGTCGATGAATAAATTGTACAAGTGATGAATGTATTAACATTCGCAGAAAGAATAATGGTTAAACGCCGTTATGTAAACACGTATCATTATTTGAATGCTACAAGAACATTAAAGAAAGAATTAGATGCACACATATATAACGTAGGTGGGTATGTATGTGCGCACATTTACCTATACAGGGTCACACGTAGACGAATCAATGAGCCACAGAATTTGAGATGCACGCATGAGCCAAGCATATATGGGAAAGGGAGTTAAGGTTACATTATCGATTGAAATTTCTTTACATATGTAACGTCATTTGTCTTGTTTGTCAGTAACAGTAACGAGTGCAACTCGATAACATTGCCATAACATTGGTATGAGATAGGCTCTACACTGGAACCGAATCCAAATTGCATCACCGAAATGACTTATCGACGTTTCTTCTTACTTTTTCGATTTTACTGCTAAATCGTTGCAAAATAAATACGTCGTACAATTAACTTAGTCATTTTTACGATTCATCTTTTTGTATCAAGTTGCCCGGTATTTATACTTCGTGTTTCTAAATATTGTAAAAATTGCAATCACTTTGAAAAATACAAGAGACTTTCGAAGAGATATTTCTAGATGACAATAAAACAAACTTGGTCGATATTACAGTCTGCATTTACCAGGATCAAATGATATTCTTTCAAGAAGTCTTAAAAAAGTCTTGATCCATCCATCTGACCAGAAGAGATCGAGTAGATATATATACAGTTGTATCGAAAACTATTAAGATGAAAATGTATTGTTCCCTTTACAACTTTTTATAAAATGATGAACGAGCGAATTTTTCCTACTGTGATTTATAACATTCGAATGATGCCAGCTAGTCAATTACTTCCAGAGTTATAATTAGTCCTCATTGCATTATACGATGAACCAAATCGAAGGGCACTCGTCTCATCGTTTACACTAGAAATAAAAAAAGAAGTGAGCCTGGCAGGACTGCAAATGTATTATTTTACAATGCTGATGTAAGTCGAAAAATGATTAGGAAGTTACTACGATAAGACTTGGTTTGCGTTGCAAGGATTTACTCTCAAATTCTCTGCGCGCATCACTCAGATTATTGTTCCCAGAATGGCTGTATATCTTAGGTGCGTTTTTACGCACATATTTATAAGTTGAATGGCCTTATGCACTGGACAAAGCCAGCGTAATTGATAAACGGTATTCTTGAAAAATGATGAGCCATAGTATGCTAGATTTGAACATGTAATTCACACCCATAATACAGGTAGGTCTATAAATGAGCATTTCGACGGTGATGCGGAGTGTAGCGCGAATCCGGAAGGCTTACTGCTCATATTTTGTCTTCTTGCTAGCTGTCTTATGACTATAATTAGTACTTGTTTTGTCGTATCTCACGTATCTGATCTTGGTCCGTCTGCTATTATCTGACACGTCTATCCGATAAACGAAGAAACATTGTCAATGAATAAGTCCTTGGAGAATTCTTGATGCTTGAAAATTGATGTTTCTGCTTGATCAAACGATCATTTGTTGAATAAATTGTATTGATCAAATGAAGCTCGATACAATTGATGTAGCGGATATACATATGCGTCCTAGTAATAATACACGTTGTCGAATTTCTCGGATGCAGTATGTAAATGGAGCCGCAAAAAGCAAAAGGCTATATCAAAAATATTCCAATTGAATGTTTAGTGGCGCTGTTAAAGGAGTCGAGGGATTCGTCGCGCTATCGTTATTAGCACATCCGCTTGAGACGTAATGCGTTTCTAGAAAATGTTGGTTAATTGAAAAACGAAAGGACAATTGCTCGCAAACCACGCGTATTAAAGGAGTGCTTGGTTTTAAAGATAAGGGTCCCCAATTACCGCTGTATCGACTGATAAGAATACTTGGACGGTTTTTGACAATCTTGGTGTATATTTGCAATTGTACTTCGGCTGGAGATCAGCGCACACTACACATCGCGCGCCCTCTCTTCTTGCCTCGATAATTATGTACTTATTAGCTGCGCGCTATGAAACATCTAATAAAGGATTTGGACCACTAGGTTGTTTTATCTACTTGTTTCTTTCACATTCATTTCTAATAGTATGCTTGTATTTTTCTCCTCTAGCTGCTAAGCCGTCAGTAAGAGCTTGCCTACTTATTGTGTTTCACTGAGAAAACGTACGATAAATTACTAGAAATCGTTAGTGATAGCTGTGTCGTTGATGGTTGATCAATTGTTACAAATAGTCAAACGCATTTACATTATACACTGTACAATCTCTATAAAAATAATGACAATTTTAAATCCTTATATTTATACAATGTTTGTTCGTTAAACCTTACAATAGACATAATGTTACAATGAAGTTGTAAGGTTCTTGTCAAAAAACTATCGCGCAAAATCTGAGACTTTTTTGCGTGAATACGTATTGATGCTTGGTCGACAATGTCACTCGTTAATTAATATATATATATACTTCGTACGACGCATTACTACTCGCTCATCCATTTTTATTGCTAAAGTATTATCTAAAATATTGTTATTCCTTATGATTTATGAAATTGACGAGGATTAAAAAATAGTATCTACTCTCGAAATATTAGTCGAATATTGTTATAATCGTTAAAAAAAAATGGAAAAAAGAAAGAAAAGCGGCAGACGTAAAGGCCCCGCTATATTATGTAGTAGTTGCCGTCTAAGGAACTAGTACGCACTCAACGGATATTGATGTACGTATACACGTAAGTAAGTCAGTAAAACTTAGACAAGTTGGTCGACTGCGAGTACAACGTCACGACGGAGACAATGTAATGACGATAAGGACTGTCGGTCCTTAGGAACGGGCACTCGCACGAGATGGAGCTCGGAGTGCCTGTAAAAATGCGCACGTACGAGGATAGAGAGTGAAACAGAGATTTCGGGAGTGAAACGTAGGTAGGGCCGACACAGGCCGGTAATCAGACGAGGAGCTCCTTGGCGAAGGGGTAGCGAGAGGCGCGCGACTGACGCCGAGGTGGCGGCGAGCAGGAGGAGCCCTCGGCAAGCAAACCCTACAAGTAATCGTCCGCCCGATCGATTTCGTCCGGCGGACTCGGCTCCGAGACGCTCAGGATCGGCAGGCCGAAGTGCTGCTGCTGCTGCTGCTGCTGCTGCTGCTGCTGCGGTTGAACCACCTCGACGCTTGGCTCGATGCTCGCGCGCCGCGCGTACTCGCAGCTCCTCGCGTGCTTGTGCTGCTGCTGCTGCTGCTGCTGTTGGGGCTGGTGCTGCTGGATGAGGACCGTGTGCCGACTGGTGCCGGGCAGCGAACATCGCGCCGGATATTCCACGATCTCGCACGAGCGCCTGTAACACCTACACTGATATTGGCTTCTTGTTTTTACTTTGGTCTATTGCGGCAGAGTCAGGCACAAGCGGGCTCTAGCATTTTTCCGGCTCGTGGCTACACCTTGCACGTCGTACTCTCGACACGCGAACGTTTGCACATTTAGCTTTTGATCCACATCTTTGCACATTTAGCTTTTGATCTTTATGCAGCCGATCATTCGTTGACTGCACTGGCGCATCAGTCGCCGACTCGAAAGAATCACGATTCAATTAATTTCGAGTCGCTTTAGCTTATCGAGTATACCTGTTGTTTACTCGACCTGTGACTGAAGCACCAGATGCAATCGTAAAATAAGTTGGCCGATGAAAAGGTGTGTACAGATACGGAAAAAAAACATCAAACAGCGAGCGTAATCTACAACATTACTGCAACATTTCTTAATCAATTCACAGTCGTGCAAAGATTTGTTTTGCGAAAATTACGCATCATTCACGAAGTAACTTTTGGCGTCGAATCTGGATCCGATCTCGCAAAATACATTTTTTTGCAAAATTGACAGGACCATCACGAAGAGCTACTCTTCAGCTACAGATGCACTGCCGGCAAACCGCAACATCTCAATTTCCTTAACCCACCACTCCTCTACCTTCCAATCTTATAATTCCAAACCATTTTAATCGTGTTTTTTTTACTTTTAGATCTGGATATCTCCTGATATAATAGAGCAATTCTGAGTTCGAATTCAGATTCTACGCCGAAAATTACTTCGAAAATGACTCCTAACTTTCCTGAAACAAAATTCAACAATTTTTATTGCAGACTTACGTTATCAATGCATTTACATTAACACCAACAGACACTCATAGCATGTGGCAATTTCAACATTTAAACAGTCAGGCATTCGCACTCTTTAAAGCAAGCCAAACATGTCCAAATGATCCCATTATCCAGAATTCCATACAAGTATTTCTCGTTTGAAAATGTTCTTATTTTTTTCAACAATAATGGTAGATAATCGATTAAAAATTGAATTTAATTTGGTGGTTTTATCGTTATAGTTAAAGCAAAGAGATGCCAAATTTGACTACAAATTAACTTTTTTATTGTATTTTGATGAACTTTTTAACTTTTCCAATTAGAAATGAAAAAAGTTTTTATAACTAAGAATTAGAAACAATTAATTCTCAACTTTATAAAAATTACATGAATTTTTTAATAATAAAGCTTAACAAAGTTTAATTAAAACGAACAAAAATTATTGTTTTCTAGCGGCCTTGTGCCTTCATGGTTAATGAATTTCCATATTACAGCTCACGCTATTTATTAATCAATGTTAAATACAGTTTAATACACGAAGAATTTGATAAAACTGTTTAAAAATTAAATTTTAAAAGTAGTTTCTTCATACCAAAGCTATTTACTTTTTTCAAATTTTGCTCAAAATACTCAACGAGAAAAAAGTGGTAAGATTATTGATTTGGATTCAAAAGAATTTTAAAAAATATGACAATATAACTTTGTTTTGAAAATAATGTAATGTCATAAAAAAAAAAAAAAAAAAAATTCATGCTATGACTTAAAAGGCATGCAAAACTTACATTGTAACTAAATCTAAAAATGTATTGTATTGTGCTAGATATTTGTGCTTAATATACATTTGAACAGTGTTCAGTTATTTCAAGAAAACAGTAAGGGTTTTGATGTTTGGTGTTTTTAGGTGTCTAAATAAAGCAGAGAATCCGCAAATTATTTAATTGAATATTGAAACAGGTATGTCCTGTTAATGAAATTTGATCACCCCAATATTATCACAAATGTTACTCATTAATATTCTTATTGAAAAGAAATATGTATTGTATCTGTATAAAGTTGTCTAATTTCATATCCCCGAACATGAACTATTCTAAAATATGTCATTCTTGAAAGAATATTAGTAATAAAAATAAAATATATTGTTATACAGAAGTCGATCAATTTGGAGCATATTATTTATTTCTAGATGCTACACATCGTGTAAATTGCAATAAACGCGTACGCGATAATCAATAGTATTTGTCAACATGAGAACGTATACGAAAGAAAAAGCTTGGCATACATGATATTTAGGTAGTATAAAAGAAAAGAAAAATAGTGTTATAAAAAGAAGTAAGGAAATAATGAACGAAGAGCGAGAATAAGACGTAATAGAAGTGAGAAATAAAGAAGGCACGTTATGGCAGAGTGGTGAGGGATGCCGTTGGAAAGAGAGGAAGGGAGAGATAAAGGATTTGATAAAGGATGGTAGAAGATCGCAGAGGCTGTGTGGTGAATATAATATAATTGATGCCAATAGCAATGCGAAAGGTGACGAGTTGCGTTTAATGCAGGCGTTATTCTCGGCGGGTCTTCACCTCTCCTCTACGGATGCTGGCTGCCTGACGGGGCAGCGCACGTACTCGCGGCCGCTAATGGCCGCCGCTCGCCAGCCAGCGAAGCGCCTTGCCGCAAGTGCCGATTGCACCGGGGAGGACGTTGCTGACAGCGTGGGCGACGGGCTCAGCGTCGCTATCGCTGCTGGCGCCGTCGTCGCGGCCGTGCACAAGCTCACTAAATCTCTGAAGCACAACAATCAAGAACAGCCTCGGCTGATTATCTTGGGCCTCGCTCTTTCTTTCGGGGCTTGCCTTCGAGGCTCCGCGTTATTTTCTACTTTTGTTCTTCGCTTGTGATTGCCACGAGCCGAAAGAACCCCTCGTACTTTCTTCGCGGACCTATTCATGCGGATGGATTGCGACTAAAACTAGCACAGCCATTGATCAGCTTGGACATTGGGATGGCAGTGACAAAAGAGGCGAGCAAATAGAGCACAGGTATTCTGCATTATTTGAACGTTCACAGGGACTTTTAAAGAGTTGCGGAAAGAGCTGGTTCGAGCGACAGAAAGGCTGATTTAAATGAGTACACGTCGATGCTTTTTTGCCTTGATCTGCATGCCACGGCTAAGACGACCGAGAAATTCGATGAAAGTTACCTTGAGGACTGGTGTTGCATGGAGATGGAGTCGAGAACAGAAGTCTCGTTTTTAGCATTGTCAAGACTGTTCTGCCTTGTCTCCGTGTCGTCGCTTTTATCGCTGTCGTCTTGATTTGATTTCAGGAAGGTCTCACGGTCACCGTCCGTGCTACCGTCTTCGTGTTGATCCGAGTTTTGCCGGTTGTTCGAGGCCAGCGGCAAGTTATCTGCACTGCGAACTTTGCGGCAGAGCCGCGACGTGGAGCCGTGTCTCCGCAGGAATTCCTAGAAACATGTCTTTCCTTCATAACAGCCAACCCTTCGTCGATTCGCCATTGATCATTCGTTTCCCATCGTCATCGCAATTCTTGGCGTTGCAATGCCAAACGCATTCTCGTACTTCGAATTAATCGCGCGAGCATATTTACAGTACTCGTCGAGCCAATGTCCGCGACCTCTGTGAAATCTCATAAATATACGTACGTCAAGTTAGCTATTTAACCGAAAAACTTTCATTGATCGGCAGTTGCCATTACGTTTCAGCTAAAGCGGCCTTGAACTTTAACATTCGCGAGCTACGTATCACGCGTCATTACTGATTCAAGTGAACTGCGCGTCGTCGCACCAGGGCAAATGGAATTCACTCCGAGACTGTCCTCCAATGCGACAAGGTTGCACTGTTTTTAATCTTCATAGTTTAACGAGCTTTTCGATGTCGCGTTCATTCGAAAAGTACCCGAGCATTGTGCATTGGGTTCAAATGTTCTAGGAATGTTTTGCCGAGTGTTGGTAGTAATGTCCTTTTTTTCCTTGTTGCCGACTGTATGTCAAGAGAGGATAAGAGGGTTTGCCGTGTATATAGGATATAGCATTTTATTTTTAATCCAGTTTCTTACGTTTCAAGCTTTCGTCTACAAAGCTACGATAATTTTACTATCTACATTGTATTCTACAATAACAGTTGTGTACTTTCTACCCAAATTCTTTTACACGTTGAGTGAAACTAATACCAGACATGAAATGAGAAAAACTTACTTGCGACAAGAATCCAGCTACGTCGATAGCGCTATTAACACGCGGTCGGGCGGTCTTTGGCCAGTTGAAGCCACCGCCGCCGCCACCGCCGCCGCCGCCGCTATCCACGGAGTCCACGTGATGGTTCGACCAGTGCAGATGCTGAAAATTTTATCGAGTTTCACGTGTAAAAAACCACGGATCTATACCTAGAAACCAATTTGTGAAGGCATTTTAATATTTCACTTTCTCTCTTTCTTTCTCCCTCTATTTTTCTTTCTCACGCACTCATTCACGCGTTCCTTCATTTTCAAAGTATTTTAATTGCATTTGACTCGAATGCCTTTTCTAAAAGACAATACTTACATTGCAAGGAATCATTTTTTCAAGCCGCTGGCTTCGGCAAATTTACGTAGATATAGGCATACCCGTTGAAAACGTGCGATCCTTTGCTCCTCGATCATTCTTTAATGAAGCGAAATTGGGACAAATACTTTTCGATGTGTAATTCACACTAAAGCAGTACTGCTTAATTTTGCGAAGCCGCTTCACGCCAAAACATAATTAAGTAACAAATTAAGCTGGCATATACGTAAATAAAACAAATGTGTCGCGCTTTTTGTTTGTTATTGATTGATTTCTAAGGTGCACTTGAGACCGTATTGTTCATCTTGTTTCTGACAAAGCGGTTGCACAAAATCATTTGATTGCAAACTACGAAGCTAAAGGTATTTCTTATCGATCCATTGAATCCTAGTCTTGCTCCATCAAAGAATAATCATGGAGCAAAGAGGTGCTTGTCATCAACGCATACTTGTACATCTACTCAGCATGTCACGCGGGAAAGAACTTGACAAAGCTTCTTATTCTATTTCTAATTTATAATATCTTTCGTGAAAATATATATTTGTACAACTGTTACACTATTAAAATACAACAAAATAATTTGGAATGCCTTGGCTAAATCACTACGCAATAATTTTATAAGCTTAATAGCTATACAGCAACGGCACTGAAAAAAACGATCCTCTTATAACAAGGGAACAGTAATTTCGAATAAATCCACTTGTAGGAAGACAAAATGCTGTATGGCAAGAGGATATGCATCTTCCTGTAACAAGAGGATTTTTTCCAGTGTACAGACTCGTTAATTAATGCAATCAATTATTTTTCTCGAGTCCATTTTAAAATTCGTTCAAATACTCCTCATTCATTTATTCCTACATCTAATTGTTCACTCAAACTTATCAACTAAGCAAATATACAAATTGTATCACAATGTTCAAAGTAAAATGTTATAAAATATCAAAGTTTGTATATATGTGCTACAGATATGCAAATATCTTATAAACTACAATTATTTTTGCAATGCATATGAAAGATAAAACTAATATTATATATATATATATATATATATATATATATATATATTGGTGGCGAAGCTGTTAAAATTTTGTTTACACTGTAAGAGTGGTGTGAAGCCGCTTGCATTATATCTATGTAGCAAAACTTGGAGCGTCGTAATATTTTGCAAAAAAATAATCTTCAGTTGAAATGCATTGACTTGACGTTTGCTGCTGCTCTAGAGGTGGTAAAAATAACAATGAACGCGTGACATTTCTGTTCTGGCCTATGCATTGTCAAGGAAAGGGAAGAACAGAGTGAAAGCGCAAAGTCGTGTGGGTGATCTGGCGGAAAAGTGTGCAATATCGTGGCAGTGCCTTAGATCCGTTAACGTGGTGGCAAGCATCTACTGGAAAGCGCATTTGCACATTGTTGAGCAACGCAAGGCAGCAAAGTGTGCAGCACCGAGGTGTGCAAGTTGAATGTGGCGTGACTGAATGCCCGACGCGTGCCGTCGCGGATAGGTGTGTTGGCAGAAGAATAGAGTAAGAAAGCATCTAGAAAGTAATGAGAATAGAGAAAGAGTAGAGAGTAAGTAAGTATGAGTGTGTGGTTGCGGTTGGCAGTGAGTAGACGTGGTTGCATCGTGCAGAGAAAGAGACGGACCTGCTGAGCGCTGGTATCCGAGTGTAGCAGCGCCGTACCCTGCGAGGATTGTGTCCTACTGCGTGCTATTTGAGTCGTTACCCGAGACACTCGTGACTCGATTGACGAGTATGGTGCAGAAAGAGTGCAAAATGCGCGAGCTTCGGGTTGGTTCTGGAGTTTCACAAGAGAATTACAGCTTGACAAAAGCTCAGCAGCAAACTCGATGCTTTTCTTGTATTCTCAACGCTCTGTAGCTACATCGCGCTTGCATTTCTCAAGCTCGATGTAGTACCCTATTCGACAGATTTGCTTGAAATTGTTTGCAGCCGTGTTGCGCGTGCAATAAAGTAGAACCCAATAGCCAGCTTGGAGTAATAGCTGAGTGACAATTGTGAGATAACGAACAGGGCAGTGGCCTAAAGATCAGCTGTTTTTACAAAGCTCGGAGCAACCAAGCGACCGTTTATGCATTCCCTTGCTGGAAAGCGGTGCGTTGGCAAACGGACTCGCCGTGATTCACTAATAATTGAATGACGTCGGACGTTTTCATTGCGTACACGCGCCCTCGTCGCTGCCTATTGCCGTCTACGCGTTGGCTTGTTTCGCGCGCAAAGAAAAAAAGCCACGGGGAAAAATACGCGGCCACTTGCTTTTCGCCCGTATCGCCGGAGATAAGAATGGACTTTCCACTTGGCATTGTTCTCTGGTACGAGACTGGCGACGCGAGAATAGGCGAGAATAGCGCTCTCTCGAGATTGCGGAACGTGTAAACGGCAACGAGGGAATCTGTGCGTTCGGTGCCGATGAGCGCAAAGGGGTCGAGCTCGCTGCACGGAGGTCATACATACTCTTGGAATATCGATAGTCGGTCGGTTGCCTTGGCCAAGGAAAACATTGACAAGCGGAGGAGCGTTCCGGTGCGAGCGGGATCATCAAGTGAAAACTGCAGGATAAAGATCAAATTTACCCCTTTACGCTCGATTGGGAAGTAATAACAGTAAGAGTTGAGGTGAAAGCCGCATAGTCGCGTGAGAAAAATGAGAACAGTGATCGCTGGGCAGCGAATAACACAGCAATAATAACCAAGAAAATCAGTCATATCAGAGGAAAGAAATCAGTAAAATTTGCAGGTGTTGTAATGGGAAAATAAATGATACCGATGGTCACGCGATGTCGGCCCTGTGTAGAAGAGCAAACTGGCAGCCGCAGTCGCGTGGTTGACGTGATCTCCTAGGGTATTGAAAGCACTGCTCCAATACGCAGCAACCCCCTCCCCCGCACTGCATCACCATATCCGACAATGTAGTCATTACCTTTATCCATAGTCACATAACACATCATCACCGACTCGCTCATTCAGTTTCATTTGCTTTGCTTGGTCGTCTACTTCAGCGACTATATCTCATCCGAACGTTTGCTATTCAGCCACCAAGAAAGTGTTACTCAGCCAGTAACATTTCCTTCCGGCGTCTACGTCAAAATAGTATCTTTCAACGGATCGTCCTTCGAAGCACGGCGTGTCGTGATCTTATGAGAAGCTCAAAAATATCAGTGCTATTTGGCACTGTCTGCCGTTTGTTTCCCTTGCTTGGCCATACTCGGCGCCAATTCCGCTTACGAGTGACGAGAACAAATGGCAGAAAGTACGCACGTAAGTCTCAGTGGCCGCGCTTGCTCGCGTAAAGCTTTGTAAAAGCGGCGTACGCACTATATCTAACGGTGTTCAAATCGTTGGGCTGATCTATGGTGCTGTAGCGCTTCCGTCGCTCACGCCTATATGTTGCGAGTGATGCAAAATAAACTTAACGAAAATTTACGGTTGCGCGTCGCCCGTCTCCGAAACATTAATTACCTCGCCATCGACCTACCAATTTACGATCATCCTCTGCCAAACCAGGCAAATTCATTCTCCGACCGGCTATTCAATCCTTACGACGCCATAACTCGTACAAATATTACAGTCAACTAATTGCAATTCATACGCCTTATTGCCTTTCGATAGCCTTTTCCAATTGCAATCCTTAGACGTTACAAATCTCACTTTGCCGTGCTCCATTATTTTACACTTGAATTACAATCATCATCCAAGTCGATATGTCATCAAATAATAGGACGTGACATACGAGTAAATTATCGATCACAGCCGACTACGTAAAAAAATACAAACCTATTGGAATCGCGCAATCTTCCGTAAACGCTCAAAATTAAGGTTCACTGTCATCTTCAAATCAATGAAACTTTACGTTCACTATGACTCCGACTAATCATTATCAATTTAAATTTGACTTTCTTACACGCGTACATGCTTGACGAAAGTTAAACCTGACGAGTGGTGATACGTTGAAAGTGTACCTATAGCCAAGAGTATAGTTATTTCAATAGTCTTCAGTATCATGGACTCATTTGTAAAAATCTATCAACTATACGAAGGGCTGCTGAGTGGTTGTTATCTCTCTTTCTCTCAAAATTAGTAAAACGCTAACGTAACCGAGATAATTCAAATGTTATCAGAATAAGTTATGTGAATTGCAGGTAGCTCTGATACGCGATTCAACATTTTGCTTTTATATTATGACTTACTAAGTTTGCACGTATTCCAATAAGATTCCACAAGATTTTTTGAAATAAATCTTTGATGCATATTAATCGGCGAGCATTGTAGACTACGTTATCGCGATGTTCGTTCTGCGTCATTTCAGAAAGTCGTTTTTTATTGGAAATATTGGAAGAGCTAAGACGTTTGATATCTCGAATGAAGACTAGCCACTTGGATCAAGATAAGTTTTTATAACGACGCGATTCTGAAAAAAAAAAAAAAAAAAAGCGGTACGGGCGGTATCGGAAACAAATGAGAAAAAAGCGAGACGCAATAACAACTTCACTGATTTGTTGGCGAAGCACTGGCGCAGCCGTCTGCTCGGATGATTAAAATCATCAATACGTAATAGAGGGCGCGACAGATAAATTACCTGGGAGCAAGCGTGCTGCGAAGAGCTGTGAGTGTAGGCGGCGTCGGCCGAAGCGCAGACTCCAGTTCCGGGCACCTTCAGCTGCTCTGACTTGTAGTCCGGCTGGTACGGCAACAGCATGCGAATTTTGCCCCAGCGATTGAAGAACAGCGCGATCGCACCCACCCAGATCACCAGAGCTAGTAATACCAAGCCAATCTCTACGCCTCGGATCTGCAAAGTAGCAGTCTCGTTACTTCATCCGCAACTTCGGCTTCTTATTCCCGAATCTTCCGACATTTTTATTAAACGAGCCTCCAGTACACTCGAGTCTTCCAGCTTACACATTTTTTCTAAATATTTCGAGAACGGTCATACATCGTTTTAATTGCAACTTAACAGAACGAGGTCATATTGTTTGGCGAGCTCGAAAACTCGAATATTTAGGTTGATTTGAAGGTTCAATTAACGTGATTCTTTAGACTTTGTGCGCGGAATATCTCATCAGTTCGGGCCACTCTATGGCTCCAAAATTTGAAGCTTCGTGTCGAGTCCGAGCCGAGCTTTTGTAGAAACCTAATTCGATCTGTTAAAAATCGCAATGAATGTCTACTAAATCAATGTTTTTTAATATTATTACGCAAATTCAACAGTATTTTTGACGCTCGATCAATCAATAAATAAATACGAGGTTCAAATCGACACTTTATTTATTAAATAATGCACGGTTATTTGCATGACCATTGTACATCAATTCAACTCTCATTGGACACTTTGTTTTGCGTGCTTTTAACAATAAAGAGGTATCGTAAAAGGTGTAGTTCGCGCATTATGTATTGCCCTTCTGTATCAAGTTTTCATTCAATATTATTGACGTAAATCATAACGTTCCGTATATTCAATTAACGACAACATATATTTTATCTAATAAAACTATGTCATTGTTGAGTATTGATATAAAGTATGACAAACTGTTGAATTATAGAAAATTATAGAATTCACCAACCTTCGCCTTAACTAAGCCCGTCGGAATGTTTAAGTTAACATTAGCGATAATACAATGACGGTTCACGAACTTTCGCTCACGCAAGAGTCTCGCTTACATTTGCTTTTTTTCAATTAAGAATTCACCAAAGTTATACTATTAGCAATATAATGAAAAACCTTATCGTGTTACTTACTTGAATATGAGTCTGAGGCTGCTGAGCATATGGCGGAGGTGGAATAGTTGGAGGTCCTTTCGTAGTAGAATCATCTAGAAAAGATGTCTTTGGAGGTTCTGCCAAATGATGTTAATATTTTCTATGAATAATATTTTACAATCTCTACTTATTGAAAGTGCACGTGTCAGAAACATTCGTTTAGTGTTCTAACAGCATTTCAGTACCCTCGAGTAAGTTGTAAAATATTATAATTACCTTTATGAATAAAAAAAACGGAAATAAGGTTTATTGGATTACGTTAGAGTTCAAGCTATAAAATGCACACCAGAACAGGCATTATAAACATGTTATGTATGCACAGTTGGTGTCGAGTTAATTCGTAAAATCTCAGATTTGGACATGTAATTATATGCAAAGTTTTCAACATTTCGACTTTTGAATAGAAATTGATTTTAAATGTAAGCAAGATTTTGATTTAAGAAATGCTACATTACAAAATTCGCCCGTGCTTGTGATAATATTGTGTCTAAACTTATGATTTAATAAAAGAAGAAAACAGATCTTTCGTATTGTCGACATGCAAATAGACGAAACGTCGTGAAATTAATGGAAGCTGAAAGGATTTTTGATTACACTGAGTGTTATTATGTACAGGTGCATTTGAGTGCTTACTCCACTCGATTGCAGGAAACGGTTGAAAAATGTGTCTTACCAAGTGTACGGAAGACAATTGGCCGACTTCGGAGCTTTTTGCCGCCTTTGACGGCAGTGACAACCAGCTGATATTGAGTATCCGCCCGCAGATTACTCAAAGTAACTGCTTCGCTATTACCCGCAACGACAGCTACCACCCTGTAACTAACCACCTTTCGTTGTGATTCTATTTTTCTTACACGTCCGTTTCGTTTTCATCAACTCGCAAACATCTTTCTCGTTTCCTTCTACTGCTGTATACAAAATCTGCGCACGAGCCTTTGATCCTACAACAATTTGGACTATAGCAATGCTTTTGATGTGCGAATCTGACGTTGCATGCAAGTTCATTCTTTAACAGAAAGAAAAGACGAAAAACTTATCAACATTTTGAGAAGCTTTATTCGGTACTCCGCGATCCGTACATTGTTGACAGAGAACAGTAGTCAAATATTGTCAAATGGATTCACTGGAAAAATTTCGACCGAATTCGCGAGTTTGAGCGTGTCCAAACATTGTATTTTGACAGAATCATTCACGCCTGGTAGTTCGACGCTTGTTAGTCCAGTTTTTAATTCAACTTTCACAGACGGTTGTTTGTAAAAGTTCGTATGCTAGATAAAAAGTTGCATGCATAAGTTGGCAAATTGATAAATGACTGAACTACGATACCGTTAATATGAACTTTTTCAGCTTATTATTTCTACTTTCGGTAGCAGCTCTGATGTTTTGTTGTATTTAGAATTTATTATGATATTACAGGCATTCTTACGATTAACGGGCATTAATTCATTATTTAAATCAATATATCTGCAAAGGTATGTTTTTATATCAATTATGCTATTATATTTTTATTTTTTGCCCATTCCTTGCAGCGTGATCTATCAATGCATCGTTGAATATGTCGCATAGCGATGTGTGCACTATACAGTATCGTACACTATGCACACGATATCGATCAGATGATATTTCGTGCAACTCTTGCTTTTACTTGGTCAGCAATTATACGCATATCTTACTCAAGCAGTCAAACTTTTAGGCTTAACATTGTCCTTGCAAACTAAAAGATCTTGCATGCCGTGATCAATTTTTGCATATAACCTGTCTACACAACGTTGCACACTAAAATTAAATTGACTTTTGAACAATTTTTTTTTCATAATAATGCCTTGTATAGATACAGAGTCAAGTGAGTTCAATATCAAATTACTTTGTTCAATTCTTCTGCATGTCAACTCGAATATTCCGCAAATGCTTTAGTCATTAACGAAATGTCAAAAGTTGTTTTCTTTTATTTTCAACTAAGACAAAAATATGGGAAGCGAGAACAGCGATCAAACACAAAAATTTTTAAAATATGTTCTCACTCTATTCTCTTTATGTCTCTTTCAACGGAAATTGCACAGTAATACATACTGGAATATAAGTCTGCATTATTTCGACGCGAATAACGCAGATATTTTAAGGTATAATAAAATAAAACTGTTGGCACTCTGTTGGCACTCTAATGTATCATCAACCAATAGTAATACTGAATCTCAATGACTGATTTTAAGATAGGAAAACAAATGTCAAAATGTTATCGGTTGGATAAAATTTGTCTACGGGTTTTGTAGCAACCATACTTTGTTTATATTGCCTAATGAAATAAAATCCGAGTTTGAAAATGAAGGCGAAGCCAGCTCGAAGTCCGTGCGCGGTAACGAAGCTGCCGTAACAGAGCGCCGTCGCAGCTTTTGTAAATCAGACAGAAATACGCTTGAACAGCTCAATGGCGTAACGAGAGAAGGGAATCTTATCGAAGCGCGAGCCATTGACAAACACGCCGCGCGACATGTACCAGCATTTGATAAAGCCATTTCATACGAGAAATTGGCCTTCCATGCAATCCCCTCCGGGTCGCAAACTGCATAATGCTATCGCAAACCAATGAGAGTGTGTACCGTGCGTGGACACCTGGTCGTACGATACGCGCGCGGGAATTCGTATGCCAGACTAGAAATTGCGATATTCTTATCGAAAGAAAAGTGCGCACAGAGGTCGAGCTAAATTAACCGTGGAAAGTAGACGTACGCCTGTTTTGAAAGTATACATTGGAGGGAGCACGCGAGGCTGATTCAAAGAAAATAAGCTAACAAACCGCAAGCGTAAACAGTCGTGAAAACTCGAAAACCGTCTTGTTGCGCAATCATTCGTGTTTTCCTCTTATCAATTGAAATTCCTCGATTGACTCGAGGCATCTTTATTCAGAGCTCTCGACAGCGACTCTCAAAAGTGTTTTTATACTAGTCATTGCGATACGTTGCATGCTCAACAAACAGTTTGCATCGACTTCGTTCTGGATTGTCATAGTTTTCTAACGGCACAGGTGCCTTTGTACGCGTATACTCATCATTCTTGACAAATCGATCGTCGCCAGAAGTATATATATATAGGATACCGGTGCTACTTTGTCGTAAAATTTCATTGTGAATCGATACTTTGTTAAAGATCTCAAAATTCCAGCTAGTTGATCAATACTTTTATCCCTCCCTCCCACTTTCTCCTTCTCTCTTCATTCCACTCTTCTCATTATCCTTTCATTTTAAATTCCAATTTTTTTCTAATAGGGAAACAGCAGTTACCGCAATGAGCACGCTATGGCTTGGACTTAATAAAATCCATTGATCAAAGGCTCGCGCGCTTGCAAGTAATATCTATCTCAGGAAACTGAGAAATATTGAAATATGTCTCGAGGCTTTTTTTTTAATCAAACCATTGAACTTTGCACGTATAATGCAACTTTGACAAACTATGAAAAATCCATCTGCTTTATTTAACGCATGCTTCGCACACTCTTCTTTGCTTGGAACTATTCTTCTAGCAAGCTTTTTACAGCGCAAAGTATCTCGTTAAGTTCTTTGAAAGTGCTCGCAAAAACTTTTTTATTACAAGCTTTTTTATTATACACAGCGGCTACGCTAAATTGGACGCAATTATTTGAAAAATTAGCAAGTCCAAAAACGAGACACTTCGCCTGGTGAATACAACGAAACAATTACAGCATTGGAAGTTTGCTTATTTATCTCACGTAAATCGATAAAGTCTAGCTATTTTTTGTAACTGTGCAGATATACACTAAAAATTATATTGTGCGATAATTGTCTGACTATGTGAAATTGAAACACATCATAGTAATTATTTACGAAACTAAATCTGATTGATTAAGAGCCAACGAGCATTTATTCTTACATATAGTGTTTTGCACACATTAAAACTCTTAGTTTTCAATTAAGTCTTCAACGAATATTAGTGAACATGTATATTTTCACAAATAACTTGAACATTTTCATATTTAAATTATGTAAAACTCTTGCGAACGACCAAAACATGGAAAGTGTTATATATTTTGACTGAATAATTTATTATTACATAATCGAATGGGAAACGAAAAGAGCAATATTGACAAGGGAAACCAAAATTAACTGACCAAGGGAGACTTTTTAATTGCACACATTATTTAACAAATTCTTACTGAAAAACTGTAATAATGTCAATTTTGCTCTGCTATCCTTTGAGCACTAAACTCAATAAGGCAGCACTCCGGTAAACTATTTAAATTGAATCTATGTCATTATCGAAAAGAACCACAAACACAAAGCGTGCTAAATAGAAAAAAATTTATAGAAAAAAATAATAGAAAAGAATTCGAGCAGCTAAGAAGAATTGTAGAATTTGTTATGCAACCGAATTGATATTTAAATACTTTTCATTTTCAATGCATTATAGATGAAATCTTTCTTCAGTCAAGATAGAAAGGAAAAAATGCAAAACATCCGTAAGAATAGATTAATATTAACGATTAGAAATATAAAACAGATCAGCGTAACTAGCAAGTAATAAACATTCGAAGAACATCGACGAACGACAGATTAGCTAACTAAATATTTATCTTTTAGCGAGACGAAACAATAAAACAGAGCTGCATCTACGACTATAATATTATAGCGGCACGTTAATCACAATTATTAAGTTGAATGCATATTTTATTATGGCGAGACGCAATGTGAACTCATTATTTTCCATGCGTCATATCCAATTAAAATATGCAAATGCATATGAAATTTTTTAATAAAATACCAGCCAACAAATTCAGGAATATTGATTGCACGATTTGTTTGAAATTTTAGCCATTGATAATTTTCATTACAAACAATATTTTATAACTGCAATTTCATTAGTGAAAAAATTTGAAAATCTTTAGTAAGCAATAAAGTAAAAGAATAACGGAATACGCATCTAGCATTATTGGCTTGTACGCGATTGCAATACTATAGCCGAGCTATTCCATGAGAAAACATAAAATGAATGCCAAGTTATCTTGAGATAGAATAAAAAGAGATAGTAGTATTAAGTGTGTTATTGATCGACAAAGTACAAGTGAAAAGGAAAATATTGCAAAGTTATGAGTTAATTTACTGCCTTGCCTATGTTAAGACATTAAGTGAGACTATAATCCTACAACTGAGCTTCAACGATCCAGAAAGATAAAGTGAGTGTTAGAAATACTTGACGATAATAAACCGTAACAGTAAGGCTATATTTATGCAAAGCGGGCTTTCACATAAACTGGTTGATTCGAAATCCGAGGCACTTTTAATTTATTGCCGGTATAGCGATTCGTTGACTGTTTCGTAATATTGCCGTTGAACAATCTTCAAAGGCAGATGGCTAATAACAATATCGGAACTTGCAATTTGATTAAAAACGGCTTGCGGAATGTGCAATGAATCGCGCGAAAGAGAGCTTTTCAGTAGACATTGAAACCGTTTGCAGAACGGTGGTACTCACTTCTATTCTTTGAATCGCGTATTGCTCATTCATGGCAGATTCTAAGCTCTACTTTACGAACCAAAGCCAAGTTGTAAAGTTGGTTTGAATCATGCATGTCTAAACATTGGCAAAAAAACTGACGAGAACAAAAGTGAAAATATATGTAGTAAGAAGTTTCGTTAGAGCATTGGCAAGTTTTAGTCCGAAGTTAAGATCTAGTGTATAAAATCGAATCCAATCATCAATTCCAATCATCAGTGGCTTCGAGTCTACTTTGTAATGTAAAAATCAATCAATAGCGAGAGGGCATCACGCGTTTTTCAGATGCGTGACTCTTGGCCTATAGACTAGATCGGCATGTACTATTGTCAAAATTAATGTTCATATTTAGACAAGGCATGAAAACCGTTCTAAAGTTGCTCCAATGAATAATTGAAATCGTGCATTGTCATATTTCAGCGATGATGATAATTATTGGTAAGAAAAAAAAAATTTATTGTTCGAAGATAAAAGGACCATGTACCTGCTATTATGGCTCCTTCTCGCCGCAAGAGAAGTAAAAGAATCTTCGTTAATGTTGCAACTTGACAGTGAGGAGGCTTTATATTTATACGTGTGATACAGGCTATTTTAAGAAAATACTCGGAAAGCCGCGGCGCCTGCGAGGAGTGGAAATTAAGACGCAGCTGCACGACTACAGCTTGGTCCTGAGCACAGCTCGGTATGCTTAAATAATTGGTTAACAAGCTACAAGCATCGCGTGGTCTTTGGTGCGATCAGTCGACTGCAGCCCGGCGCACGGTTGTGCAGTTTGTCGACGCGGCGGCCTGCTATTCTACGCATTGTTTGCGGCCAAAACTCGAACGGACACACAAAGAAAGTAAGTGAAGGTATTTTCGCAGAACGAGCAGCAAGATGTACAGAGATAGAATTCGAAATGGGAAAAACAAGTCGCATATGGATGCCTACGGGACGAACAGAGACGGGAATGTACATAGTCCTGTAAATAAAATTGAGTAAAGCTGAGTGAGGCAGAACATTCGGCAATTGGATAAGTATAATGGCTGAAAAGGATTGCCCTCTATAACATTGACAAGATCGATGCGTTCATTGAGAAAACTTGTAGCTTAGTCGTGAGTGGAGAGCTTAAGAGAAAGGTCAGAAAGTCAGAAAAAGAATGCGTGTGAAGCTTGGTCGACACGGTAATGACGCACCTGGCATCCGTTGGCTTGTAAGTCACGTCGTACTTGTCCACCTGCTCGAGCTGGCTGGTGCTCCAGGAGACACGGACCGTCGTCGGATTGAGAAACATCACGGTGATATTTTCCGGCACGCCGGGAATCCCTGCCGTAGAGCCTGCGGATGAAAGCTCGCGTCAGCTTGGCGGCGCCTCCGCGGCTCGGCCGATACTCACCGACGAGACTAGCTCCCTGCAGGATCAGTATGGTGGCCCAAAGGACCATGCCGCCAATTCGGCGGACCGTGGCTGGGCCGCGTTCGCTCCGGCGCGCCTCGCACGCTGGCTCTTGGCTAATTAGCTCGGCTTGGCTCGGCTCGCGGGCTCAGCCTCGCGCCGGCCCACATCCAGCGCCTCCCGATTCAGCATCCGAGTAACCCACTCCAGCAGCCGCCCGCGCCCACTCTGTCCATGCCGCGCAACGCCCAGCCGGCCGAATCCGCGAGCGACGCTCCCCGACGACGCGATGCCTTCGTTTCACGGCTGACCTTCGGCCAGCTCCTCGCCAGGGACGACCGATCCCCGTGCGCGCATCACCTTCATCCTAAACAAAGTCGTCCGCCTCTTTACTCATGGCCGCTGCAGCGCAGTCGCTCGCTCTCCCAGCTGAAAAGATAACAAAAAGCCCACTTTAGCCGGCCGCGATGCCTTTCATGCCGCGACGCGCTCTTCCCACTCCTCTCTCCTCTCCCACTTGTCTCCTCTCTCGCTGCTTTCTTTACTTTGCCCATTAATTATCATTTTGCCTTTTGTCCGACTCGTCGCCGATTCCATTGCAAACGAGCTTTTCCAAGACCCCCCCCTCCCCCCATCTCTCTCTCTCCTTTTACTTTCGTCTTTCGCCTCATTTTTCAGTGATTATTATCAGGCCGCAAGCTCCTCTCCTCCTCTCCTCTCCTGCATTCGTCGCGATGGAACAATGCCAAACAGATATTACTCGTTTTAACGTTACTCTAGACACCGAGGCACGCTCGTGGCCCGATAACTGGCAAATCAATGCATTCGCACTGCTACTCACAGATGCAAAACATTCACAAGCGGAAGCTGCCGACCGCTTCCACTCGTGTCACGTGCAACAAAAAAACTCGTTAAAAACATTCCGATTCTCTCTTTGCTCATTTTCAAACGCCTTCGTCTTCCACGTCAAAGCACAAGTGTTTTACTCGAGAATCACACGATCAGATAACGAAACGGACTGGGCCATCTAAATCATTTTCACGATACGACGGTTTGGTGTATACTTACGAGACTTTGTTTACTTATTATCACCTTACTTTATCTGAAATTCAACTAACGTTAAAATCCATTCAACACAGTTATGAAAACAAAAGAGTTAAGAAAGACACGATTCCATCTTACATCTTCAAATGAGCGGACGTTTGCGCAGCTTTTGCTCGGTCGCGGCCAACGAAAATACTGACGCGCCCGAGGTTTATGTTGAGCTGCTTCTAAGTTGGTGGAGCTTTCGCGCAGCTATAACGAAATCTGCTCCTCGTTGGCCAGCTTTAATATAGACTACGTAAGCCAACCGTCGGCGGAGTAATGTACCAAAAAAAGGTGTAAAGGAAAAAAAAGACGACGCAGATGTATACTTGCTTTATTGCCGACGCAGCGGCAAGACGTTCCAAGTAAATGCTTCAAAAAATAAACAAATCAAATGCACAGCCTAATGACACGCCTCACGATTGCATTATTAGATTATGTCTGGACAACTTTCTTTTAACTACGTATTTTGCAACTGTCACTCCATCAATTCTCAGATTGAAGTGTAAGAAAACAGTGCGCTACTTGTTTCGTACACAATGTTCCTCATTGATTTTCTGATTTATTCAGTACCTGCTTATCGTAGACTCAGCTCGTCTGTTTATTTCGATACGAAACTAGCACAGACTTGCTTTTTTATCAATATTACAACGAGAATCGTAACGATGAACGAGTCGTTGTATCAATGGCTCTTATGATGCAATGAGTAAAGAATATTAATGCAAGTAACGTGCTTTGACTGTGTAAAACCTGCATAAGTTATTAAACTGTCGTGACGGCGCGACGGCCGAGAATTTTCATATCGCTCAATTTTCTATGAGAAATTTTAGGCTGCTGATGAAAAGCGATTGCAGAAATAATGTGAAGCTGCGCATTTAGTTGGAATCAAAGTCAGTCAGTGACCACGTTCCGTCGGAAGAAAGCTCAGGCACAAGAGGGCGCTACAGATAATCTAGCTCATTTCAGATACACACTAACGAACACTCGCATGAGTATGAACTCTCCATCCAATGTACACATGCGCACTCCAACGTAACGCACATTAAATGAGCTAATTATCTGGCGGTCCCTTGCCGCTCAACTTTCTTGCGAAGTATCCTCATTCAAGCATTTCAAGCTCCAAATAAGGAAATATCGGTTGTACAAAGCTGCTTTCTCGACATTTATTCACGAAATTCCGATCACGGATTCTAGTTTCCCCCCGCCAATCCTAATGGCAGACTCGTCCTTAACAACTTTATAATACCCATGAAAAGGGCTTTTCATTTTTCACAGCGCTCGATAAGAACTTTAAATCCGCAGACCTTTCAACAATTAGGCCAGCTTCGGTACCCAAGGAACAAATTTATTTTCTCATTATCAATTCATTTCACCAGTACGTTATGTATATAAGGATGCGTTTTCTCCCTTGCAAATATTGCCAGCAGCCAATATTGTATTTTGCATTTTTTTAATATGGATAATCCGTGCGAATAAAGAGCTGTTCAAATTCTACGGAATTTTTGTAAAGGGAAAACCACGCAAAGCTAAAACACCTAAATAATATTAAAGTAGCAAATTTGCCCTGTGAAAAGAGCGACTTTTCACAGGGCAAATTTGCTACCTTAGCGGCATTCATCTTTTGACGTTGTTCATTTCGACTGAAAAATATAAAAACGAATCCTTGTGCATTTATTGTTCAAACACTGAGCGATCATGATAACATAAAGGAATAAAATTGAATCGGTTGATGTAAAAAAATGAAGAAGTATTATCTATTTATCCAGTTACAAACTCGATGTTATTCAATGTTGCAAGTTAATGTCAAACTAAGATTTCATTGTCAATCTAAATAGTTTTTTCGATTAATTTGAAATAATTTAAAGGAAGTAACACTTGAAACACTTTGAAAAAATAAATAATTCTATACTTAAAGAGTGAATAATTTTTTAATATTCTATGAATAGCGATCAATCGTAGTTAGATCCATCACTGAAGACTTGAACAAAACAAATGTGTTACGTTAATAATCGAACCTATTATCGATACGAGAACAAACTTTTAAATGCAATCAAGCATGATCAAGCAAGGTTGTATAGCATGATTAACTACGTAGCCTAATGTCTGTATAGCTCATCGTGTTTCTGGATCTTAGCGTAATATTTGGACAAGTTGCGTCGAAACTAGAGCTGCTCGATGAAATATTCAACTGTGCAGTTGTATTCTGGTTGAAAGATTTTTGAAACTCTGAAGATGTGTACTTGTTGAACAAGGTTAGCGTGATGTATGAGGTAACCGAGTAAAAATTCTATGCTTTTAATTAGCTACAAGAATTTGTCTAATGTTCAATTGGTGTGATGTTTCGAAAAATAACAATAGGAATTACAGTAATACGTAAAGAAATAGTAGCTTTAGTTCGCATACATACAAACGCACTCGGTGATGAGAAAAACTAAACGAGGAGCATCTTCTGGCTGGGGGAAAATGCGGGCTTAAGCTATTTCGTAAAGGTGTGCGCGAGGCCACAAAAAAGTACTTGAGTCAAGAATTGTCTTGCCCTACTTTGAGCTAAGTGTGCACGGACTTCTTTTTTGTTTTTTCGCCCCAATTATTAGTCTGCTGGTTGCAGCTAGCTTAAGAAGAGTCTCGGCACTGCTTTCATCTTTTACCACTTCATACACGTGTGAAAAGCTGCTCAAGCTCAATCGAGGAAACAAAAATACCAAGTAATTAGACAGGTTTAAAATAAATTCGGCATCCACGACTTTCCAAGCAGCGTTTATAATTTGCAGTTAATCACAACTTTTCTCTGTTCGCATAAAAACTTACATCAATACGTCCACTGTATTTGTGTGAATATGTGCTCATGACAACGAAATAAATCAATGGTGCTAACAAGAAGAGGTCGAACTTTTCAGTGGCTGGATTATATCTTATATTCATAAAAAACCGTTTTATTTGATAATATCTACGAGAAATCACCGAAATTTATACTGACCAAAATAATAATTTATCATTCATTCGTGATCGATCAATTCGATACAGTTAATACCATAAGCATATTCAATATGTATCAAAATAAAAATAACATCAAACAGGTTGAAACAATAACGTTTCAACAGAGTCTAACTGTATCTTAATATTTTTCCTTATTTTTTTTAATTATACACTCTGAAGATTAAAATAGCTTCATTTTTTATATGAAAATGTGTTGAATGCAGAAATGCTATACCCATTCAACAGCTTTCGCCTTGAATCGTGCTCATTTTATTTTTATTGCATAAAAATCGTGCCATTGATTTATCGATTGAACAGAAACAGCAGTGGAATTAACAATTCGATTACATTTTTATTATTTTAAGGCTAATTTAGATTTTTTTACTCGTTATAAGAAGACAGACTGGCGCTAGTTGGTTTGAGGGTAGGTTGATCGATGGCTAATAACACATGGCTGAAACAGCAAAGCGTGTTGCGGTCGATATGAGTGGTGTAGAATATCACGAGGAATGTTTGCGATGAGTTTCAATCGAATGGCGGGCTTCAGAGAAGAAAAAAATATGCTCAAGATTTTATCTAGACAAAAAGATATCTAATCGAAAAATTCTAATGAAACGTACCCAACCCCCGAAGAATATTCATCAACTTATCTTGGTGCGCATTAGCTGATCAAATAATTACTTTTCCATTGGGTATTTCTACAGTGCTCAATAAGTTCGTAAAAGGAAATAGACAGAATTATCGATGCAAATTGAATAGAATTGTTAATACTTATCGTGATGCTACAGGGACTCATACGAGGTATTTGTATTTTATTACATGTGATATTATTGATTAAAGGAAAGTTTCCTTGTGATACTGACAAATATATTTTTCTGTTCGTTCTGTACTATTTTATATAATAGATACAGATATTTATGTTTTTATTATAAATTATTGTTAATTTTTTCCACTCCTGATGTTTGATAATTATATTAGTAATCGTAATCTAATATAATTATGTTTTTATTACTTATACCACATAAAGTATTTCACATTCACGCTTTTAGGCTACCATCTCATACGCTAGTCTCCCATAAAACCTACTTCGAAACAGGTATTGATTTGCTGATCAATGGACCTACTATCTCGAACTATTGTGAGAATCGTGTACTTTGACACGAACATTTATTTGAAAAAATTAAAAGATATCAAACACAAATCGTTCCCCGGCTCTTCGCGTTGTCATCCGACTTTATATCTAGTGAACCACGTTTCTCTCTCTTACCTCTCTATTATCTCTAAGATTTGAACGTCGATATTGTTTTAAAGCAAACTTTTAAATTTACCTCATGATTCAGTCAAGTATTCAATTTTCTGTTTGCTAA